ATGAACTTGTAGAAAAGTTAAGACACCACCGAGTATCAGCCTCAGCCTCAAAGAAGTGAATATTACTTATAATATACTGTGCAATCACATATTCAGAGTTTTTACTCAGTTCAAGTTTAAAAATTAAAGTATCATATTTGCTTTTGCTGCTTGTTACTTCTCCTTGAAGAAAGTGTTGTTTTTGGTTTATACATTTTTGCACTTTATTTTATTGTATTTCATTCCAATTATGTTTTGAAATTATTTTATTCAAGTAAATGATCAAAAATTACTCTACTATTATTTGTTTTTCTTTTAAGTAAATTTAGCCTACTTTTGCTAAAAGAGAAAATATGGACTATTGATAGTGCCTTGAATAATATCGGCTTCTTTCATTCATGTTATGGGTATTTTTATACAAAGGAATTTTTTTTGTGCCTGTTGAAAATTAAAGTTTACTGACGTAGCCATAAAAAAATGTTGCTTTATTTATCTGACCATATTGGAATGTATTTGTTAGGTTTTCAGTCAATTAAATTTGGTTCAATAAACAATATGTGGTCATTTTTAAAATTTTCAATGAACATTCGATCAGTCCGGCCCTCGGCTTGCAGCAAAATTTTTTATCTGGCCCTCCGTCCATTTGACTTTGACACCCCTGCTCTAAGCTATCCGGAAGTCGGTTTGCATGGCCTCGCCAAACCCCTTCCATGACAGAGTTTTTGCCTTGGCAACCTCTAAAACTACATTCTGCTTGGCGAGCCGGTACCTGTCAGCTTTCCCTGGGGTCCCACAGCCCACAAAGGCCTGATGGGACTCCTTCTTCAACTTGACAGCATCCCTTACCACTGATTTCCACCAGCGAATTCAGGAGTTGCTAGTAGAGATATGGTCACAAATCCAATCAGCTGCCTCAACAATAGAGGCGTGGAATATGGTCCACTTGGACTAAATCTCCCACTCGTCCCATGGGACGTGGGTGAAACACTGCCAGAGGTGGGAGTCTCTCTTTCTAACAGGGGATTCTGCCATGTGCTCCCAGAAAATCCTCATAATACATTTGGATCTGCCAGGTCGGACCGTCATCTTTCCCCACTGTCGGAGCCAAGCCCTGCGATTGGCTGGCAACCGATTCAGGGTGTACCCCGCCTACTGCCCGAAGACAGCTGGGATGGCCTCCAGCACCCCCCGCGACCCTAGTGAGGATCAAGCGGTTCGGAAGATGAATGAATGAATGAATGAATGAATGAATGTCGGAGCCAACTCACCACCAGGTGGTGATCAGTTGTGTTTATCCAGGCAGTTGGAACATGCATTTGTCCTGGTGTCAAGTCAACATATGGACACCCTTATTTTTGAACATGGTGTTCGTTATGGACAATCCGTGATGAGCACAAAAGTCCAACAACAAGACACCACTCGAGTTCTGATTCAATAACAAGACACCACTCGTGTTCTGATCGGGGAGGGAGTGCGGTGTGGGGGGGGGGGGCTACCAATCACACCCTTCCAGGTATGACTGTCATTGCCCACGTGAACAATGAAGTCCCCTACCAGAACGAGGGAGTCCCCAGAGGGAGCGGTCTCCAGCACACCCCCCAAGGACTTCAGAAAGGGTGGGTACTTTTAGCTGATGTTTGGTGCATAGGCACAAACAACAGTCTGGACCCATCCCCCCACACAAAGGTGTTGGGAGGCGACTCTCTTCTCCACCGGTGTGAACCTTAATGTACAGGAAATGAGCTGGAGGGGGTGGCAACCAGTTTGGGGTGTACCCCACAATCTGTCCGATATCAGCTGGGATAGATTCCATGCCCCCTTGACCCTCGTGAGGTTAACCGGTTCAGATTATGGATGAATGGATGCATGGTTTTCCCAATCGTATATCGCCTTTTAAATCAAATGCATTTGTGCTGTTGTTCTTCAGGGAGTGATTCTTCCTGCTGTCCCATGAGGTTTTGAACTCTCTCTTTTTGAGTATGCTGGCAACAACAATTACTGCCTGAAGATGGACCGTTCATCGTTATGGTGAGTTAAAGAGTCAGAATTGGGAATCGATACACATTAAAAAACTTCTGAAACAAGTTACAATAATGTAGAATGTTTTAAAAAAAATCTTTATTTCATTGTCCAGTATGTAAGACAAAAAAATCATTGCATATAACGATTTTGTACCATAAAGGTACTCCAAGCTCTTTACGATATTCTCATTTCTTGACATTTCTTGTTAAAATATCTCACTTTCTGTCTTTGTACCTGAAGTGCCATTAACACCTTGGGCTCTATTTTCGCATGTGCACTAGGGCGTAAAAAACTGGCCTATCTTAATTTTCGTGCAGTTTTAACCTCCTTTGATATGTTTAGGAATTTGGCAGACCACACAGGTGATGTAACACAATTTTGATGGATTTGATCAGTAAGACAGATTCTCAGGTCTGCGGACATGTATGGTGGATGTCATTGTGTTTCATTCATAAATATGACAACCATGTGCGTCAAACCCTCTGAATCATTGGAGTAATTAATTTGTTGAACACATTATTATTAGATATTTTTATTATTGTTATTATTAGTATACTATTTTCCTCATCATCTGTGGTGTGTGTGTGCGTATGATTGTGCGTGCGCATGCTTGCGTGTGCATGTGTGCGTATTTGTTTCGCAAAAATTAAGAGGACTTGTTGGTGGCTTTTCAGCTGTGAGTTGCGAGTCCTCACATGGTTTCAGCACTTCCATAGGCCAGAGACCATTACCGCATGGTACGCCCATGCCCACTGCAGCTACACCCATGCCCTAATTGCAGTTAATTGTTTCCTCCTGGTTGTGAGTCATAGCAATACAATACAATACAATACAATACATGCTGATTTATATAGCGCTTTCACAACAGCGGCAGCTGTAACAAAGCGCTTAACAAAACAGTTAACATAAAGTAAAATAATAAACACAACACATAACATAAAACACGGACAGTCGTGGAGTCCTAACCACTTTTCCGGGACACGCTTTGTTAGTTGAAGCAGTTTGAGATGAAAGAGGAGAGAATCAAAGTGTCCTTTCACCAGTGGATCAGAGACGTCATGCTCAAAATGTGCACACGTTGGCTACAAGCTAAGTTTCAAAGTCAACAAGCTGTAGCATCCATTGACGAAAAAAGAGATTGGTTCACTTCTCCTGTCCCATGGAAATCCATTTCAATTCCAAGCGGCGACTCTCGGTTCCAAATACGCATCGGCGCTCTGTGCCAACGCACCTCTCTCCTCATCCTCAACTTCAAGCCATCCATCCAGCCGCACCAATGCCGACTGTCCAACAGCGCCGACATCTCCACTGAACAAAACGGGGTTGTGAAAAATGCTGCCCATTACAGGCGCAAAAAACACAAGCGCCCCAGGTCTGTCCAGCACCGACAGTCAATGGCGCCGACATTCCTCCCAATCAAAATCCGTGCTGGTACAGGCGTGCTGCCGAGAAGGCGCAACCACCAAGCACAGATACTTCTCCTTTGACGAATGTCGTGGCCAAAAAACGCTGAAAACAGTCCATATCAGGTCTACACGATGAAACAACAAACAAAATGTGACAAAACAAAAGACAAAAACAACAAAAAAGAACAAAAAAGCAAGGCTCTTGAAGAGCACTTGCAGAAGGCTGCCTACTCGGGCATGTCGCAGCATAAAAGCAGGGCAAAAAAGCCAATGGAGTCATTTTTATAAATGGAGCAGAGCAGAGGTAAGATAAGTATTAAAAAATTGCTAGGTGTTTCTAATGAACTGTGTTTCTTCACCTCGGGAGCATGCCTGGAGCTTTTTCCTAAGCATCATCATGCCCGGCTGAAGCCATCCATGAGGGGAGCAAAGGCTTTGTGTAAGCTTTAACTTCAAACATTGCTGGGTGTTTTTAAACAGCTCGCGGGATGCGTGCTTTGTGTCACAAGATGCCCACTCATTCCCACTTTGTGGATGAACCCCACGATGTGGCCGCCACAGGCGTGTCAGTAGTACGTGGACCTCCGAAGATTTATCGGTTCCCATTCTGTCAAACGGTCTATGATAAAATCGCGAGGCAACTCGAATCTGTCCACCCGGATCGCATTGAAGTGCTTCATTTAAAGCGTTTCTCCAAAGGGTCACGCAAGAGGGGGAGGGTAAGAGAAGCTTTGTGAAACGGGTTCACTTACTAACACCGTTTAGGACATGGGCCAGGGTCAGCTGGTTCCGCCAAGAAGGCTAGCAAATTTAGTGGGCTTTTTTTCAACATACGTACGACTCATATTGTTATAGTCTCTTTCTCGGCTGCGATATATAGCGACACGTAATGAAATGCCATCTTAACCCCGAGAGCCCTCCATCTACACGGGGTAAAAATCATGTCAATGCCTGTCGAAGGCAGCCACCAGATGGGTCTAGTGAATCCTTTTCGGAGCCAGTCAATTCTATGGCAGCAGACGGGGTCACGGAGACAGTGTGCAGGGTTATGCCTATTCTAGGTCTTGGAGATATCTGGCTGTCGAAAGGGGGTACCTCACACAAGAAATGTGGGCATATTTGAAGCAAATTTCAGGAAGTTGGGAATCATGCATTCTGGGTCCGGGACCTTAATCCGCATAACACCCTTAAAAGTCTCATTGACCCACATATAAGGGGTGTTCACATTGCACACATTTGCTTCGGTGCTGCACCGATGTATTTTGTTGCGATATATCTTACACCGGAGCAAATTTTGTGTAGCGTTCACACGTACAAAGCCGCTGAGCATGTTAACCCCGGTGCAGCCCTGGTGCAGCCGCACTTGCGTTCACACGGCAGTTTCTGCAGCAGTGCAAAACGATAGAAAACAAAAAGCTGTCGTGTTGGTTCTTTTAAAAAGATACACAACTCAAGCAACTACTGTACAGGCACGTCCTTCTCCTTCTCGGTCTCCGTGCCTTCTGCTCGAGAGGCGTTCAATGACCGCCCCCGAAAACGTAAATCAACGATGACTTCAATGACACTCAGAAAAGCAAACATAATGCGCCAAACAGAAAATCAAGAGAGGAAATCACAAAATAAATTATATGGGGCCGTTGTGAACACACAACAGAGGAACAAACTACACAAACAACTCCGAGACAGTCCAGTCTCCTACAAAAGGAAAGATGACGGAAGTACAACAGAGCACAAAAGCAACGCATTCTAGCTGTATGTAATCAACTCTTCTCATGTGTAGCGAGGCTACTCCCACCGTAAATGAGCATTTGCTCCAGAGCAAATTTTTAAACCACCTCCTTGAGCAAGGTTAAATTTGCTCCGGTTTAAGCTTTTCAGGGGCTACACCGGTGTAACTTTGCACGTGTGAACGCTCTACTGGGGCAGCCCTGGCGCAGCACCGGAGCAAATGTTGCCGTATAAACACCCCTATAAGCGCCTAGTCAAAATCGCAAAGCAGACTTATATTTTCAAAGCGTGTGAATCACGTTTCTCGTCCATGGTGCTGTTGACGAAGCTCGGGCACACGCTGTCGAAGCCGGGCAAACTATTAGGAGTGTAGGTGCTGATGGACAAACAAGAAATTAGCCTAGCATGTGAAGGAATTCCGTGAGATACACAGTCTGTTGTGGCATCAGATGGTGGCGTTCAGGGCCCGCAGGCCTTCTAAAGGGTTCCCACAATGTTCCTGTCTAGGTCTGTCAAACCAAATGTACCACTTTGAAGCGCTGCCGCATGGGTGAGGTCGAGGCTAAGTTGCTGTCTGTGCTCCCCAGACAGTCATCATGGGAGCACCACGAATCCCATGAATCATCAATGAAGGAGTCAGAAGTGGCATGATGCCAATAATCTCATAGATTTATAATTCTTTCAAAATTTGGCCAGCCAGTCCTGGTTCGATAAGATCAGAAAATGATGCGCTCTATTTTGCTACTGGGAGGTAACAAGGCATCATGTGGTGCCCTACAGTAAAATGAATATCTCTTTGCCTGACAGGGATCACTGTGCCACTTATTGGGCTGTGACACACTCAGAGAAAATATAAGATAAGATAAGAAATCCTTTATTAGTCTCGCAATGGAGAAATTCCCAATTCACAGCAGCAAAGTTATGAAAAGAAGAAGTAGAAGAACAAAATATAGGAGATGCTGTAAAGGCAGCCACTCTCGCGGCGCCATCTTGAAGTCAAAATAACAAAATAATACGACACAACACATAAGACACAGACAGTCATTCAATCTTAACCACTTTTCTGCATACACTTTGTTGTTTGAAGCAGTTATAGATGAAATAGGAGAGGATCAATGTGTCCTTTCACCAGTGGATCAGGGACGTCATGCTGAAAATGTGCACACGTCTACTACAAGCTAAATTTTGAAAGCAAACACGAAGATGTAGCGTCCATTGACGAAAACATCTCCTGTCCCACGTAATCCGCTTCAATTCCAAACCGCGACTCCCAGTTCCACATACGCATCGGCGCGCTGCGCTGACGCTCCTTTCTTCTCATCGTCAGCTCCTCAAGCCATGCATCCATCCAGCTGCAGACCGTCCAACAGCACCGATCTCTCCGCTGAACAAAGCGGGCTGTGAAAAGTGCTGCCCATTAAAGGCGCAAAAAAACACAAGCGCCCTGACAGTCAAATGGCGCAGACATTCCTGCCAATCAAAATCAGTAATGGTACATGCGTGCTGCCAAGAAGGCGCAACCATCAAGCACAGAGTCTCCTCCTTGATGAATATCGTGGCCAAAAAATGCTGAAAAACAATCCACATCCGGTCCACACGACGCAACAACAACACAAAGTGACAAAACAAAACTCAAAAACAACAAAAAAACCCAACAAAAAAAGCAAGGCTCATGAAAGCACTTGCCGACGGCTGCCTACTCGGGCTCCATGTTGGACTTCATCATATGAGGCTTTGCGCAGCAAAACACCGACACACGCGCATATCCACCTTGTTCTGTGAGCAAGTAGGGATCAAAGCGACCCTTTTAAAGTTGTCCGAAGCTGAGATGGATCAACCCGGGGATTATATGGGCCACGATATACACGTCCATAGATTATATTTTCGCCTTCCGGTAAAAACTTTTTTTTTTTTTCTGTCAAGGTCTTATGACAGACTACCGCGGTTAAATCAGGACTGAATCTCTATTGCGATTGCTAGCTGGTAAATTCAACCCTGTTCAATACCGCATTTGCTCTTTAAGGGCCTTTTGTTGAATGTAAAAAACTCATGTGTTCTACCCCCGCAGAATTAACATCCGATGACGGAGGACTGCCCTCTCTAAATGAGCAGCGTAAATTACCTAGTTGGTCTTAGGCAGTGGTTCTCCAGTTGAAAGTCAGTCCCAGGCAACATCACTGTGGCAAGCACTGCCTTCTTCGGCTGAATCACGATATTCAAGGCAGAGCTCTGAAGAAGTCCGCACATCTCGGGAAGCAACAGAGCGCCCCTGGTCAACAGAAGAGACCTCGGCTGTGCACACACATCTTGGTCCCTTGATTGACTCGCTGATGTTCCTGGGGGAAGCGTGATTGCGAGCCCGTCTTTCATTAGACCTGATCTGTTGAGAGGGGGCGGGTGGAATTAAATACGATATGTAGAACCACATTTTGTTGTGAAAAGTAAATAAATCAATGATAAATCCATGTCTGCTTTTTTGTGTCTTGGATCTGATGGTCTTTGGTGGGTGTGTATAAACCTGAGGTGGACAGAATCAGATTAGTCTTCATTGTTCAAGTATGTAAGACACACAATGAATTTGTCTCTGGTAGTATAGGCTACACTAGTATTGCAATAACAAGCAAATACGATAAACAAAGACACGACATCTAAGTGTAACAAGATTTTCCGTAATATAAGGGTATCGTTGTGCTGTAGTACCATCCAATGACAGCTGTGCAACACTGTGCAGTCATCGATCAGAGATAAAGTGATCAGTGGTTCAATACAATACTACAACAGTTGTGCAGTTGGTGCAGATAATCGCTGCACCATATTTAAGTGACCAGTAGCAGTCATTGTAGTACAACTTAAGGTGTGCAATTATGCAGAAAGTCCTTGAGAGCTTGAAAGTGTCTCGTGCTGTGGAAAATTTATCAACAATTGTTCAAGTATGTAGAGAGCTGGAACTACAATGATCAGTGCGGTAATACTGTTCCAAAGCGGTGAGAAAAAGTGCAAAGAACTACTATAGATTTGAGTCACTAATGGGAGAGGGATGAAGCTTTTTGAATGTCTGCTGGTTTCGGTGCGCATGGTTCGATAGTGCTTACCTGAGGGGAGTAGCTGGAAGCCACAGGGTGTTGGCGTTCGAGTAGGATTTTCCGTACCCTTTTCTTGGTTCTTGCAGTGTGCAAATCCTCGAGCGTGAGTGTCTGCTGCAGTCGGAGTTTGTCCTTTTTTGTGGTGGCCCCAAGACTGTGATGGAGGAACACGGGACTGATTCAAACTGCTGTGTGGAACTGTCTCAGGGGCTTCCTCAGCAGCCTCAGGAAGGACATCCTCTGCCTTTTTCAGAATGGTATTACTGTTGGCCTCACACTTCATTGCCTGAGAGACCGTGATTTGCAGGATCATGAAGGTCTCGACGGTTGACACATGGTAGTTAGACAATGTGAGGGACAGCTGTGGTGAAGGATGTCTCCTGAAGTCCACGATCATCTCTACAGGGTTGAATGTGTTTGCTCCAGGTTGTGTCGGCTGCACCAGAACGCCAGCTGCTCCACTTCTTGTCGGTACACAGATTTGTCACCATCTTTGATGAGGCCGATGACTGTGGTTTTGTATGCAAACTTTGAGTTTGACAGCTGCTGGATGTGTTGAGGTTCAGTCATTTGTGTCGAGGGAGAAGAGCAGCAGAGAGAGGACACATCATTTGGGGTGGGGGGGGCAGTGCTGGTGGTGCGTGTTGATGATGTTGTCCTTCCCAGCCTCACATGTTGTGCCTGACTGTCAAGAAGCTGAGGATCCACTGGCAGATCATAGAGGACACACGGAGCTGCAGAAGCTTGGAGATGAGGAGTTCCGGGATGATGGTGTTGACTGCATCACTGAAGTCCACAAAGAGGATCCTCGTGTAGGTTCCTGTGCCGTTGAGGTGCTCCAGGATGTAGTGCAGCCTTGGGGATTGGGATGATGGTGGACTCTTTGAAACAGGATAAGACCTCACACAGCTCCAGGGATCTGTTGAAGATATGTGAGAAGACAGGAGCCAGCTGGTCAGCACAGACTTTAGGCAGGAGGGAGACATCTTAACCGGCAAAGCAGCCTAATATTCTCCTATCATTTTTTCTACAGGAAGAGAGATCTTCGACCATTCCTCTTTGCACAATCTCTCTGAATCATCCAGTGGTTTCGAAGGGGCAGACAGGAACACAACCCTTCAACACAATTTTACTGTAGCCTCTGCATAGAGTCCCGTACAATGCCTTTCAGTTCGGGATCAGCGTTTTCTTCTTGATTAACGAACTTTTTTTTTTTCTTCATGATATTGATCACGACTATCGTGATAACATACTGTTATTGATTAATCACCCAGCCATACATTTGAACGACATTTAAAATAGACTGAAAATTGCAAAATATCAGTCAACAGTTACAGTTCAGAAAAGGTTGTTTTTGTGGAACCTTCTTTTTTTGTCATGCACTGTGACAACTTGAACGTACCTGTATTTGATGTCTGCCTTTACAGGGTAAACAAGTGCACCATCCTTCTAAGAAGTTTACATTTGAGTTTGAAAGGGATGTGCTTGAATGTGTCAAGACTTTTCACTGGTTGGGCTCATTTACATTAATTTGAAATGATTTCCAGATCATATGTTGTTTTATAAAAGCTGTGTACAAATAGGAATGAAAACACTGATTCGTTGGGATGCAAATTATATGCAAATGTCACAGTACATTATATTCCCATATTTAGGCCATAGTACAGTGTTATTGCGGTGGCATTGTAAAAATAAGAATAATAAATAACTTGGCAGAGTGGGAGGAATGCCATAGTGTGGAAACATCAAGTGGCATGAACGTTAATAATAAAAACACTGAGAAATTGAACACAAAATACATCATGCTCAAAGATAAGAATCATATTTATGACGACCAACTGCCCTTTTCAAGTGGGAATTGCAGTGTAGTAATAGCGAGTGTTTCAGGCCGCAAATAAAGAAACAAACAAAGTGAAAAAAAATCATTTGAGTGTCTTTTTGAACTGAAACTGGAAGCAGTTTCCGGTGTAACAACTGGTAAACAATATTCACTTGTCTTTCAACTTTGAACTGACAATGTCAAGACATGATTCAACAAGAATAAAAACAATCCCTTCTGCTCGAGTGCCTTTCTAATTGTAATGACAAAATTGAACAGAATGTTTAGGGGCCGGGGGGACGTTTGACGGGATGTTTTGCTTCTGCACTCACTCACAAACCAAAAGAGGCTGCATGAAACACTCACACACAATTGACAGCAGGAGGCAGTGTTTCACTTCTCAGAGCAGCCCACTCAAGAGCGCCAGAGAAAATGAAACATTGGCGAGGAGTCGTTGCATTTCTCTTTTGATACCATCACAAGGCACGACATTATCTCGAAAATTTTAAAACAAGACCGTTAAATCCATAATTCATGATTCCAAGTATTGTTGAAATTATTCGAACGTATGTTAAGGAATTTCAGATTGCTCATTTGAAACAAGATTTGCAACAAGATAAAGGTAAAAGTAAAACATTTCTAAATTATTTGCACTAAAACAATGGGACCAATTTTGAATTTTGATTATTTCTAGAGCAGGGCCCACTTGAGAGCAAATCTTTCGACGACATTCTTGATGGTGCTGACATTGTTCTGTCATGTTTGTCTTAACTCAAGAAAGGTTGTAAAATGCTGCTTGCTACTTTGCTGGACAGCTCTGGACCACCCTAACTTGGAAGCTTCAAAATAAGATTCTTGGTGATGATTATGATGAAGGCAACTATCATGATGTTCATAACGGCGATGAAGATGATGACAGAAATCACGATGAAGATGTTGATTGTGACATTCAAGACGATGTCGATGACAATGAAAAAACTTATAAGGTCGTGGGCGACTGGTAAGCACACCGGCCTCACAGTGCAGAGGTGCAGGGTTAGATTCTGGCTCCGGCCTTCCTGTGTGCAGTTTGGATGTTCTCCCTGCGCTTGCGTGGGTTTTTACTCCAGGTACTCCAGTTTCCTCCCACATTCCAAAAACATGCATGTCAGGCTTACTGAACACTCTAATTTGCCAAAAGGTGTGATTGTGAAGACAAATGGTTGTTTGTCGATGTGTGCCCTGCGATTGGCTGGCAACCAGTTCAGGGTGTCCCCCGCTTACTGCCCGATGACAGCTGGGAAAGGCTCCAGCACACTCACGACCCTCGTGAGGATAAACAGATTAGGAAATGGATGGATGGAGAACCAGATTGAGTCCACACACATTGAACACTGTATTGGCTGGTAGTTGGAAGAGCACAAAGTATATTACCCAAAAGGTAAAAAGTAATATTCACAGAAAAAGACAAAGAAATGGTTGTTTTGTCTCTGTGTGCCCTGCGATTGGCTGGCAACCGGTTCAGGGTTTCCCTCGCCTATTGCCCAAAGATAGTTGGGATAGGCTCCAGCACGCCCCGTGACCCTTGTGAGGATAAGCGGATCAGAAAATGGATGGATGGATGGATGGATAAAAGCTTGGAAATCAAGCTTCAGTCGAATGACATCAAAAAGGTGTGAAGACTACCGGATTTACCGGATTTATTACAAAGCACCATATGCAGCAGGGCACTCTTGACACTTGGCACTCATTTTGATTAACTGATCTACTTCTCAAAGGCAGCCTGTTTTGTGCCCCAAGCCTGCTTAAAATACACACACACACGCACGCACGCACGCACGTACGCACGCACACACACACACACACACACACACACACACACACACACATACACACGCACACGCTCTGACCAAAATCACCGAGGAACTCCCTTACTCCTCCCTCCTTTTCTGGTTTAACCTGCCCTCAAATGACTGCAACATGTGACAAGAGAGACCTTCATTGAGGAGATGATTATGTTCGTGCTGTGTATCAAATTGTATTAGATATTCAACCTCAATCTAATGCAGTAATCATGGCCAATGGTAATGGGACATCCAATCCTAGTACTAAAGCCGAAGAAAGCTACTTCATCTGGGGTCTTGTTGAACGAATGAGTGTGTGGAAAAAAATGTAAAATTATTTCATAGGACTGGAAATCAGAATTCACCCCAGTATACCACTTAGCCCAGGGGTCGGCAAGCTGCGGCTCCGGAGCGGCATGCGGCTCTTTAGAGCCGCCCTAGTTGCTCCCTGGAGCTTTTAGCAGGGCGGGATGCCAGGCAGGTGGCTGTTGTATGAAGAAACGGTGTTTCATGTCCAATTCACCGAGGGAACCGGCAAAGAATTGCAATCTGAAGGACCGAGAGAAGCATTTTAAAACAGTACACGTCAGGTACGAGAGTTAACCCGCTGCAAAAGTGCATCCCGTGCCTCGTTCATCTCAGGGGCTGTTATGGCTTTTGCTCATTATGGCGTGCGTGTGCGGTCACAGGTTGATCGCGGGAGGCTGGTTTATCGAAAAATAGAGCTTTGGTCAAAAAAGGTTGGGCCCCCCTGCTCTACAGGTTGCACTGCAGGGGAAAAAAAAACGTTTAATCAGGAAGGCTCATTGTGTATTTGTAGCCAACTTAGTCATTTTGATAGTAGGCTAATATAGCTAATATAGATACTGTACATACAGCGTGTGTTGCCTTCTTTCTGAGGCTTTTAATTTGTTTTTAGTTTTTTTTTTTGGTCCAATATGGCTCTTTCAACATTTTGGTTTGCCGACCCCTGACTTAGCCCATTTTCAGATTCGTCTACTGCAGGGGTCGGGAACCTTTTTGACAAAGAGATCCATGAAAGCAAAATATTATATATATATACAGGTATATATTAGAGCTGTCAGTTTAGCGCGTTTTTATTGGCATTAATTGAAATGAATTTTAACGGGATTAAATTTTTTCTCGCGAGATTAATGCGGCAGACGTCACAGCGAATGTTACCTTGCTCTATAAATAAACCAGAAACAAAACAACAAGCGCGCTGCACATGTCCACGTACGTTTGTTTTGCCAGCCACGGCAGCGCGAGACACCGAAAACGGATACTTTAAGAGTTTATGAATGGAAAGTTTACTTTTAAAAAGTTGCCAG